CACCAAGGTACGCTAATTCTAACCAATCAAACCCTATATGTAGTCTCCTCTTTTCATATTTCCACCCTGACTGTACATATCTGCGTAATAGCCATAGATTAGACAGCACAACCAATCAATCCAAAGAAGAACTGGTTTCTTGTAAGACAACATTTCCACCCAAAAATTTGATATTATGAATCACACAAGAGTAAGAGACTCCAAAACATCAAATCTTGTGTAACTTCTTCTCTAAATCTTCTTGGGGCTGCATTAAGTTTAACCTTTCATGACAAGTTTCAAGCATCGTTAAATCTAAAAGTAACATCATAAATATATTTGCGAACACATCGTTGGTTTTCTTTCCTGCACTCAACGGGGCACATAAATGCATGAAATACGTACATCATATTATGAAGAGATTATATATGTATTGTAAACGAAATAATTTTATACCTTATAAATATTAAATTTTCATTGAAACTTGATTTCCTTTCCACTTGTTCTTCAAGTACAATCTTCCCCACGTAAAGGTATGCAAAAACAAGTGCTGCACTTGAGAATTATCAGTTTTACTGAATAAGAAGAATATGTACTTTAAGTTATTCACGATTCTCAGTGTGAAAAGATACGAATCAAACACTAACAAAACATAATTAGGAAAATAATACGAAACAATGAAAATCAAATAGACTGGAATACAAAAACTGGGAGAGAAGTACCAAAATTAGAAGGAAAACTACAAGTGGGTCGTTAAAAAGTCAACGCAAGATCGGATCACAGAGACATTCAAATAGCGACAAGGGTGAAAAATTTTTTTTGCAGAAACAAAAACATATACCAAAAAAGGAGGAAGATTAACAAAATTAAAGAGGCAGAGTTAATCAGACATGCGGCAAGCATATACAGAAAACAAAACTCTTCGAATTGGGGATAGATTAAAACAAAAAAATGGTTTACAAACAATTATGTAGAAATTGTTCTGATATTTTGGGTGGGAAGATGGATTGAGAGAAGATGTATGGAAGAATGATTCAACGCGTCTATGAGTTGAATGTTCACCCAAAAACATATTTTTCCGGATTTGGATATTGAGGATACAGAGAAAAGAAAATTCTGGAGAAAAAATAAAACGAGTGAGTGAATCCGATGAGTGATCTGCCAAAAAACTACAAACCTGTATTGTCGATTCTATTATATATAGATTTTTGAAAAGAGACGACTCTTGAAGGAGATTATGACCGTTCGGCATATTGTCTAAGCGGCGTCTTTGAAGAGTTGTGTCTTGGTGAATTGAAGACGGCGTTTGACTCGATGACGTCATAGTCTTTTATCTTAAACACAATTTTAACCGCTAGATTATGTATCCAGAACAAATAGCTACCGTTGGATAATAATTTTATTTTCCTATAAAAAAATGATTATCGTCACTTTGTCTTTGCTATTATATATAGATTTCACTATATAATAGAATAACTCTATTATAGAGTAAACCATTGGAGTAAAATCTGTTCAATAATATAGTTACTCTATTTTGGTGTAAATAATAGAGGAAAAAATAGATAACCATTGGAGATGCCCTTAGAATGATTGCTGCGATGGTTTTTGATAGGCAAAAACACAGCCGCCGGTGTCACTCTTTAGACACCTGAACAAGAAACTAATTATAAATTGTGTAGCTAGCCGCTGCGCTAGCGTCCTATTTTTTCAAAAAAGGCCGGGTCTTCTACTGTCTTCAGTACACACACAGACGTGCTCGACTTCGACAACAGACGCCAATTAACAATCTTGAAACACGCTCTTGTGCAGGGCGACATCATTAAATCGATTACCACAATTGACTACACGAATCTTATACTATCTTTCTAATTAGCATTGTGAAATTCTTTATGTCTTGTCTCCCTTTAAAACAGTGGTTTTCATAGCCTTTGATGGGCTCAAGAAAACCTAACTTCAAAGCTCAACTTATTTTAACAAACTAATTTTACTTTATGAGTTAATTACTTTTTTTTTTCTTTTTTTTTTGATAAAGTTAATTACCTTTTTATGCCTTCAGTTTGTCTTTTGTGAGTTTAACTTCCTTCATGTGTAATCTTTGAACCAAATTCCAACCAACATTAAACTAGACTTTGAAGTACTAGTTCAACACATACCCTACCAATAGTGGTTTACATGCAATGCTGCAAAAAAATAGATTTTTTGTTTTCATTAATTCTCAATTTCTCATCAACTATTTTCTTTGACCATTCTGTGCATTCAATTCCAACGGTGGACCTACCTTAACAGTGAATTTCTTTTAAGATGCTAAATAGAAATTGTATATGAGCTCAATAATTAATAATGCCTCATGTTGTTCTTGAACTGTACTTTTACATGGGGTTGTTTCATACTACATCTACGACCTCAAGGCACCGTTTTGTATATTATTGATGAAAATTTTCCCAAGTCTTTGATAATAGCAGCGAACAATGATCATAGTGCGAGTAAGTTATCACTGAATCAATTCCCACAATTATAGGCTGGGACTGTGAGAATCTTATTGTTGTCTTTATTGACTAGTTACTAGTTGGCCTAACTCCACTATTCTGCAACTCTAATCTTTTTTATTGGTTCCTGCAAATTTTTTGAGTTTCTATTAATTTCATTGCCAATATTTACTATCCTTGACCACTTATTTCCGCTCATCTGCTTCTCATTTAGAAGGACATTTCTTAGACTCTTAGTTAGTTCAGTGTGACAAAAAGAAAGATCTTAGTTTCTTTTGAACAAAGAGACTCTTAGCTAGTCCTAAGCATGTGTGTCAAAGGGTGCTAATTCAGGCAGAAAATATATAAGTGGTGTTAAATGGGCTATCGACAGAACACTCATTCTCGATTATCATATCATATTATATAAAATAATACTACCTCCGTTCCTGAAAGTAGAATTTTCTAGATTTATTTTTTGTTCCATAAAGATAGATTTTCTATATTTTTAAGGTAATTTTGTATAATTTTAAGAAGTATTAATTATGAATATTTTAATTGACTATATTTTATTGGTGGATATTTATTAAAAAATGGGTAGAAAAACAAATAATAAATGTAACTATGAACATTTATTATATTTCTTAATATGCGTAAATAGTCTAGAAAATCTTACTTTCAGGAACGGAGGTAGTAATTATAGTCACCACGCGATAAAACATTTTCTTTCTTTTTAAAAAGAACCTGGTTTTATAATTACTAAGTGCGATTAGGAACGTTGAATGCATGTTCATCTTTCGAAAAAAGTTATTTGGACTCTTTGTATATGGAATAAATCTGCACTAGTGGGTTATTTTAAATAGATACTATCACCTAAATAATAACTTATATTCGATCTACTAATTTTCTTGAATAATATATTGAACATGGTGACTGGTGAGCAATACTTTGAGTGAGTTAGAAAAGCCGTGGTGCAAAATCATTTACGACTTGAGCATATTCCTCTAGCTAAAAATGAGATTTTTAAAATTACCACCGAATTTTACAAAGAGAAAAAAAGATACCGAAAAATTTGATTCCCTTGTCACTCTATTTGGCTAATCATATCTTTAATTTTTTGTTTATTTGGCATTATTCATTTTTTCAATTGTAGATTCTCTCATTCTTTTGGTCTCCGTTCAGAACTATAGCCCTTTTATAAGTTTCTTTCTTCTGTCATTTAAAAAAAAAAAAACCTTACATACTTTCAGTCAGTGAATTTTCTTTGCTAAAGTTTCCACCTAAAAAAATCGGTTAGGTGTTATTCTCTTCTAATTATATTCTTTGTCGATTACTCAATCTAACACTGACTTTCTTAGTATTATTAGATAGCACCACACATTGCTCCCAAAGTCGATACATATAAATTGTATGGTGTTCAAGTATATACATGGCTGTTATCTCGTAGTGAGGGTTTCTTAGCACTCGTTGTTTCAATTGTTTAGTTACATATTGGTTTCTCTGGAAAGTTGTTAGCACTTTCTTAGCAAAAAAAAAAAAAGAAAGTTGTTAGAGCATCCGCAACAAGGGATTATTAGGGGGAATCCTTAGGAAAAAAAAAAAAGGGGTATTTCAGATTATATAAGGATATTTCGGATTATTTCTTTAAAATAAAAAAATCTGACCAATCGTGGACCGACACGTGGGCAGTGGAGCCCATGAATAGTGTAAGGATTCATCCGGATCAATCCTTACATAAGGATTTTATTCTTAAAATCCTTAACTGTTCATGGGACCCATTGGTTATAAAATTAATATTTCCTTAAGGATTCTTCTTAAGGACTCCTTGTTACGGGTGATCTTAGCACTTTGTTGCGTAGTAGCATCCGAATGGAAAATGACGAAAAGTTATTTGTCTACACAACGTGGTCTCTACTGCAGACTCTACACGCACGACCTCAAGGCAACGTACATTGTCGGAATAATGATGTCGATCAATAAACGGCTCTACTTTTGTCTCTTTTAGATGCAAGTGATCGATAATAGCACCTAGTTATAACAATCTTGAAACACGCCTTTAATCGATACTACAAGTGACTATAAGAATTAATCATGTAGTTCTCAACTAGTTGGCCTGATTCCTTTCTTTGCCTAAGAGTAAGCGACCAGCCATATATATTCCAACATTCAGCAACTCTCTTTTTTTTTGAATGCTTCCTGAAATTCTGAGTTTCAAAAATAGGGTGACTGCAGAATGACAAAAAACGGTAGATAGTAAATTTTCATTATTGTGTTTAGTACTTCTTTATTTGATTTTCTTAGTAGATTTTCATTATTGTTTCAGATATATATTAATTAATTTTCTATAGTTTCTTTCATTCTTTCTTATAAAAACTTTGAATTTACATGTCTTTAAATTTAAATTGAAGGTATAAATCTGCACTAAGTTGATTACTGTCTTCACGCTTTATGATTTAAAAACGATGTTTAACTAACATGTTTATATATTATCAATGGGTCGAAGTAAGAAGATAAGTTAACATATAGACGTAAATTTATATCTAAACGCAACAAAATAAACGCCATAGGAGAAGTTCAACATTATTTGCAAATAACATTGATGTATATATATATATATATGAGACTAAATAATTCAGGGAATAAAAAACGGTGCCCAGTCACAATTTCTCAATCCTTCCTCTATAAAAGGGGTAATAAATTCTAAAGATACTCAGACCATCTCCATCCATTAGAACCCATTAAAGGTTGTAATGATTAAATTAAGAATAAATAAGGTGATTTGGCAAGTTTAGAACCTTGGTTAATGGAAATAAAATTTTCCTCCTCCAATGGTGAGGTTCTTAAAGAAGCTATAAAACATGTGTATATCTTCTTATGTCACAGGCAATGTCACAACTCATAAATACACCACCTATTCAGCTAAATACATCCGAAGATCTTCGAAGAAGATTACTCTGACGGTTTTCCACCACAACGAACCCATAAGATGAAGGAAATGAACCCCCTTTAATCTGGAAAATTTAAATCACAACCTTTACAATGGCTTTTATACAAGAAAAGATGATATATACGCAACTGAAACATAAACAATATGCAGAAGAGTAGCAAATAGTACCTCTTCTTTAGATAGCAATAAGAGATCATTTGGAGCAAGATACTCGTCTTCCTCGTGTTCGTAAGTGACTAGAAGAATGTGAAACCCATCAGCCTCGCTGCACTCCATTACTAATCTCATTTTACACACCGATGCTAAGAGAACAAAACAACAGAAAAGTTAATTCCACATCCAAAACCAAATAACTACTTTTATAAACATCACTTTTCATGAACAATTAGGATGGACAAAAGTAACAGCAATGAAGAAGAAGAAGGATCATCAAACCTTCTTCACCATCTTCATTCTGCAAAATCTGAGCTTTGACTTCCTCAAAGAGCAAAGGCTGAAAGGTCTCGAAATACTCATCAACATCTTTATAAGTATTCTTAACAACACTCAACTTCCCTTCAGAATCCTCATGTTTTTTTCTGTATTACATTAGAAAAAGTTCCAGTAACATACATATATAAAAAGAAACCACAACACAAGGAAAGAGGAGAGTTTTGCTTATCCACCTCATTCTCTTTTGTAAGCTGTTTATAGTCCCAACCCAAAACAACTTATAGAACGAGCAACAACTGATGCTTCTTCTTCTTCTCGAAGCTTCCCTTTGTCAACAATGGCCATTACTCACTAAATCTTTCTTTCTCAACATGAACATATCATACCAAAACGAAAAGTTATCAACTTTGACGAAATCGAAAATCCTTAACACTGTAAAGGAAATCAAAATCCTGAAAGCATGCAAGCTTAAAAAATTTCATACATTCTATTAAAATTCAGGATTCATCATAGCTCGTTATCTTTTAATTTATGGAAGAAAGCAAAGGAAAAAGAGGACAGACTCACCGGTAGCAACGACGACGAAGTAAAGCAACTGTGCAAAGGAGAGATGTTTTAATGTGTTGGCAGATAGAATTTATCGAGATTGGATCGCCTTTGTGATATCAATCGTAACCCGACGAAGATCGAGCGGTGAATCGCCAGAGATATTTTGTGATCGAGGAGGAAGAGAAACAATGATTTTCGGTTCAATACCTCGACGAAGGAGAGAGAAAAATAAACAAGGGGTCCAATAGATGCCACGTATCGGTTCTTACCAATTCTAACGCGCCTTCATATAACACCGGTTCTCTCCTTTTTTCTCTTTTTTCATTTATTTTTTTTTCACTTTTTCTTAAAACCTCCCTTAAGAGACACCGATGGAGGTGCTCTCACTCACTCACATTAACACCTACGAGACAGTCGTCTGAAAAGAATGGTACAGGCTACGATGCAGTCTTCTATGTTAGGGGAGATTGAGACAAGTGTTGAGATCAAAGCTCCCGCCCAGAAGTACTACCACATGCTCACTGGAAAACCACAAGATCTTCCAAAAGCCACTCCTGACAACCTCCAGAGATGTGATGTGCTTGAGGGAGCGCCTGGACAAGTTGGCCGTGTTCTCAACTGGAACTATGTCACTGGTAAGCCCAAAGGTTATTTAGATATATTGTTTTGCGAAAAAACATAAACACCCGTTTTGGGTGTAGATGGAAAGGCAAAGGTGATGACGGAGAGGATCGAGGCAATGGAGCCGGAGAAGAATCTGATGGTGGCTAGGGTTATTGGGGGAGATCTTATGAAAGAGTTCAAGAACTTCTTCATCACTATTCAAGCGACCCCGAAACAAAGAGGACCTGGAAGTGTGGTTAAGTGTCACCTGAAGTATGAGAGGATTGACAAGAAGGTGGCTGATCCAGAGGACATACTCGTGATGTTTGTCAAAGGATCCAAAGACATGGATGAAATGCTTTCTTCGCAATTCTAGAGGATTCTTTGATATCTATTCATCATCTATCCGTCCAATTATGTATCTATCTATATATTGTGTCTGGGTGTTTTCTTAATATTGTGCTCTCTCTGTGATTGACGAGACCTAATATATGCAAGTATGTCATAATCATACATGCTATAGTGTGTTACGTAGCTTTAAATTTATAAGTTGTAAACTGTAACTTGTGTGTTGCAATGATCTTTCTTTTTGGTCAGCAGTATACATGTACGCAAGAAGATTGGTGAAAAGGTGTCTCTCACCCTCACCCTGACACTGCTGCATATTGGAGACAAGCCCAAAGCAAAGTCATCAAGCCCAATATACACTACAAAAAAGGACAAGATAAGTAGATAACAGATTTAAAACAATAAGATTATGCTAAAAAGAGCTTTGATTTGATAGAAGTAGATTGAAAAGCAAATAAGAGCATTCTTTTGGCCATCCCATGACCGTTTTTCTCATATGGACTGGTCTTTCTACCACACTGTGATAAAGGATTATTCTTTCATATGATCATCTGTTAGTTTAGTTATATTAAAAATAAGGGAAAATTGCCAAATATGACTCAAAACTTGATTTGAAATGTAAAAGTAAATCCAAACTTGAATCAAATGCAAAAGTAACTTAAAAGGTTGTTGAAACTACAACCAACCCCATGTGAACAAACAAAAAAAGAGTTTTTTTTACGTTTCTAGCCCTCGCAAGTCGTCTGGGACAGTTTTTCTTAAAAATAATTTAAAAATTGTGTAATAAATATTTTGATAAATGAAAAATTGGAATTATGTAATTACCATATGTATTAAGAGATATAAATTAATATATAACAAAAGTCAGTTGTTTTCAGCATAGATGAGTGCAAGTAGTGAGTCATGATATTCTTTAGTTTAGGTTTCACCAACATATGTTGTAGTATTGTATGTGTTTCTTAGGGTTAGATTTTCGAAAGCATAAATGTTTTTTTAAAAAATTAAAAATTTACCTAAGTGTGTTTATTTCTGTGTATAGTAAACAATATTTAAGTATAATTTGATTTTATAACGTGGTTAGTTAGTTAATTTAGTCAATTTAGTTTAGGGTTTAGGGTTTAGGGTCTGGACGACTTATATTTAAGTCGTCTAGTAAATATATTTAATAATGCAGACGACTTAGTCGTCCTATAGTATCAACAGACGACTTAATTATAAGTCGTCCAAACCGGATTTTACCAAATTACTTTTAAACCTAACCGTATTTTTGACCGGACATATATAAGATGTGTTTTTTTTACTCATTTTTTCGCAAAATTCAGAAAACCCTAACGCCGTTTCTCTCAAAGGTGATTTCGAGGCGATTTCGATCCGATACAAGACCAAGGTAAATCGAATGCTTCTCTTGCGGATTTATGGGTTTTTATTAGGATGGATGTTATTTTCCTTTACTTTTACCGTTTTGTTTTGTGTTTTCAACGATTTCTGGAAATTTTGGTTTCAAATTAGGGTTTCAAAAATTGGGGGTTTCAATCGATTTGTTGTTTAGTTAGGTTGGATGTTGTTTTCCTCTCATTTCACGGTTACGATTTGTGATTTCAAACAATTTGTGGATATTTTCATTCTCAAATTAGGGTTTCAAAGATTGGGGATTTCAATCGATTTGTGGTCTAGTTAGGTTGGATGTTGTTCTCGTCTCATTCGTCTGGTCAGCTTTCAAATGTTCTAATCGCGCTTCTTTTTTCACGTCTATTTTTGCAGTTCTATAACCGCTATGTTGAAGGCGAGTACATCTTCTCCGAATTTTCAGGTCAGCTTTCAAATGTTCTACTGGAAGTCTTTGTAGACTTATAATTAAGTCGTCTGGAAAGTCTTCCACCTGGAAGACTTTCCAGACGACTTAATATAAGTCTTTCGACTGGAAGACTTGACAGACGACTTAATTATAAGTCGTCTGGAAAGTCTTCCAGACTTATAA